TTAAGATAATATTTATTATATATATATATATATATATATATATATATATAGATACAGAAATTCTCGTAGATATTTATACAATAATGAAGAAAACATAGTTAATTATGAGAAAGAAAGAAAGGAAGAAAAAAAGAAACGAAATATATTTGCGAGTGCACACTTTCAGTCTCTCCGTATTTATTTACAACTATGTACACGGTGTACGCGATCCTTACGAGAAACATTATATGAGAAAGTATTCCGGNNCCGACGAAGGATCCACACTTGGGAAAATCTTCCGGAGCCGGCACCATGTCGCTCGTTTCCCCAACTTGGAGAATCACGTCCAATCCACGTGTCCATTCGGCCGCGTGCTCGTCCCGCAACATCCAATAACCTTTTGAATTCGAATTTCCTCTCTTTAACAACTCTTCGTTTCTTCGAACGAACGAAATATCGCCATCGTTTAATTTTAAAAATTTTCAAGAATTTGCTCGCGATATTTAATAATGTCCAAGATTTTTTTTTTTTCCTTTGTGATTTATTTTACTGACCTGGGTTGTTCGCCTTAAATCTGAGAGCAACCGCGCCAAATTTCGGCACGACCACGGTATCCTTAGCAACCGTGCAGTCGAGATTCCGAGAGAACAATTGCCCCTTGTCGTCCATGCTCTTCAATTCTTTCAGAGACACGCTGCGTCCGAATTTTCGAGCCCCGACCACGTAGAACGTGTATCCGTGCAGATGGTACACCAGATCGTCGAGGCCACCTGCACTCCAACATTGGAAAGGGGGGAAAAAGAAGAAGAACGATATTAAATTCATACTTGATTCTACCTTTAAAGAGGTAGAACTTTTAAGAGCGTCTTCTTGATTATTACAATAAGTCACGTTCCACCCTCGAACAGTTGTCGTGAAATCTAGAAATGAGAATTTCTGAGGAAACTTTTCTGAGAGACGGTTCGAGGTATCCGAAGATTTTTGGGAACAAGAGGAAGAGGGGAGGGGATTTGGAAGAAATTTTATCGAGTTTCCTGTTGTTTTATAATTTCGAAAGGAGAGTATAAATGTTGGTTAACAAGGGAAAGGTTTCTTTTCCAATTTCTCGGAGACGGAACAACGGAGAAGAAGCAATTGTCGGAGATGAACTCGCGATCAATATTTCCAGCCTCCGCAGCCAACAGGAATATAGATCAAGGTTCTTCTAACTCAAGGCTACTACTATTACTACGTTCCAGCGAAGTATAAATCCTACTCTATCTTTCATCCTTGTAAAACGATTCTTATCACCTTCGATTTACTTTCGTATCACACGCGTCCTTTCTTTATCGGAATGAAATCGTTTTTTAACGAGGGAACGAATTTTCCAAGGATTTTCTCCCCTATCCCTCCACGAGAATTTATAATTCTCCGACTCTAAATTAAACAATTTACTCGATCGTTCGAAAAAGAAGAAGAAGAAAAATCCGAGTTTAAAAAGTCGAAATTTGTCTGCGAGCAAAATTGCACGGGAAAGAAATTGATCCTCTGGATGGTCCTCGATAACAAACGGCCGACACGAATGCGATTGGAAATCTTATCTCTCGTTTTGTTTCATCACGAGGGAAGCCCCACTATGGTACACATATGAGGTATCCTCTGAAAGGCGATTCTAAGACGATCTATCTGCTAATCGATGACTATCGCTACGACTATTTCTACGATGTTTTTTTCTTTTTTTTTTTTTTTTTCGTAGAAATGCTACCGGTGCGAAACGATGGAAACCTTTCGTATCGTACGTAATAAAATCCGATCGTGAACGCTTTGGAGAATATCTAATATGACATAATAATAAAAATTCGCCAGCCCTTACTATGATACGAATAATTAATCCGTAAAATTTATTGCTCCATTAATTAATGAAACTCGCGAAGGTGGAACGAAAGTTGTGGAAAGTGGTTTGTGGTTACCTTGATCGAGGAGAATGATCTCGACCGTGGCTCCGAGCGGTATATACCTCACATGGACGCATTCGCAAACGTTGGAGGCGGTGGCATCGCTGTGGCGACAGCGTCGCGACGACAACGATGCAGTTTCGTTGTTCTCGACGCGAGCGTCGTCCTCGTCGGGGGTGGAATAGCACATAGTCTCGCCGGAGACGTCTCCACCCTGCGACAGCAAGGGCGACGAGGGATACGTGAACGTGGCGTTGTTCACGTTCAGAACTCTCGTCTCGACCCCGTTTCCTGAAATCAAATCCAAATATATCGGCCAAGTTTCAAAAAATCGCACCGTAATATATTTCTCTCTGTAAACAGATCTCCTGGACCGAAAAGAATGATTCTCTCGGAGAGAGAGGGAGAGAGAAATAATTACAGACGATTGAAAATATTTACGAGTGTTGTATAACGAGTATGTATAAGAAACGAAGAGGTGAGGATGGTAATAAGGAGGAGAAGAAGGTGCCTGCCATTCTAATTTGGAACAGACTCATTTGCATGTTATGGAAATTACACGCGCGAAGCCATATAAATCATCGAGACGCTTTCTTTCGCTGTGTTTGACACGTATTGAAAGTGAAATGGGACGAGCAAGGTCGGACGTTAAGAAGTATAAGCTTCGCGAAGTTTTCGAATCGTCGATTTTTTTCTCCACGCTCTGCGTAATTTCCCGCTCTCGATTTTGACGAGATGTTTAATTAACATTGACTCGGGAAACTCTCTAATTCGTAACTTTTCATTCGTTCTAAAGGAAACTTAGATACGATTGGTTTGTAAGCTCGAAGAAGTAGAGAGAAGTTATAATCAACTGTCTTGTAACGTGCATCGTAACATGATTTTTCAAAGGCGGTATTCTTTTTTTTTTTTTCTTTGTCTGCCATTTTGAAGAGAAACGAAAGAGCCAGAAATTGAAAAATTGAAGAAATTAACGAGATCTGCTTTATAAATGAACAGTTTAAAACCGATTAAAGATGATGATTCCTTCAGTTATTATTCTTTTCAAAGTGAAATATAAAGTATATAAAAATTGGAAAGGAGAAAGCGAAAGGTGGAAAATTTCGAAAACGGAGGAATGGTTAGTCGCTCACCTACGATGTCGTTCGTTTGAAGCTTGTAATTAATGGGCAAACGAACGGTGACGTCTGTTTTCTGTTTCCCCAAGTCGGATGGCATCTTCCTCAACGAGTGCACTTCCATCACGCACAGACTCTCGGGATTTCCACATTTGTCCGCTGGGTTTGTCGTCATCGCGACTCGATCGTTCGATTCCTCGGCTTCCGGCTGTTGGACGGGTTCCGCCGTTCTGGGCAACGGGTCCTCCGTTGAACTTCCCTTATAGTTCAATATCGCAGCCCCATTTATGGAACTCGTTCCGCATTCTTTCGACGTGTGTACGTTGATCCAGTAGGAAGCTATCCGTTTATTCGCTTTCAGAACGAAATCCGCTCTCTCCCCTGCAATTAATTATTTACTTTGTAGACCTTCGTTAATTTTGTCCAATTAATGTTTATTTCTAAAATGTATTTGCTTCTTCTTTTTCTTAACTCTTTCAATTTTATATTTATTAAACTCGTGGATATTATTAATCGATATGATAAAAATAAAGATTCAAAATTCTCGATCGATCGACCGATAATTATAGAAAATTCCAATTCGATCATTATTCGATTACATTGCCGTTGACTGAAATCTCTAAATCCATGGTAAAAGTGAAAATTCAACGAGATATTCTGAGAGCAAGATTACCTTTGGCCAAAGTGATCGACGCGACTTGTCGTGGTTCGACTGGCTGGCCGTCAAGGCCGATCAGAAGAAGGGGGTGAGCATCGACGAGGATAGTTATTGGGCAGGATCCAGCGCCACCGGCGTTGGCCAACCGGAATCTGTGACGTCGGCCAGGGAGCACGGTGAACTTGGTCAGAGGAACCCTCGGCCCATTCGGCTGACGTCCCCGTCCGTTCACCAAAAGGATGGCTGGTTTCGCGTGGCCGTCCGTGAACGTGATCTCGCCCGAGTGCTGCCACTGGCTCACCAGAATCACGTGATTCGAGTCGTCGACGTCGTACAATGCCCTGTGAGGATCCCTTATGTCCGCTTGCTTCACTATCAACGCCCCAAATATGCCATTCGAGACGTCGTCCCCTGCAAATCGCACTCGATATCGTTTTCGAAGGAGAGAGAAAAGATTTCGATTTATTGTACATGTTCTTGGAATTGTTCGTGTTTAACGGTAATTTTGGAAATAATAATTGAAAAATGTGCAATTGTTGTGGAAAAAGGGTTGCTTAATCGCGGCATGCTCTTTTTATACCACTCGATTCGCTTACGCAACATTTATGCACTGTGAATCGATCGTTATCTCCGTAAATGCTGATGTCATGAATGAATGTATGTGAAATGAAAGTCGTTTGTCGCCCATTACTCAATATCATTTATCAAAATCATTTATTACACTTTCTATAAATATATATATATATATATATATATAAAATAGAGGTTTTATTGTCCAACATGCTAGAAAGCAACGTAATAAATTGATTAATTGAGTGGGATAATGAAAAAGTAGGAAGTAAAGAAAAAGAAAGAAGAAAAGAAAAAGGATGAAATATCGCTTCAAAAACTCGAAACGATCGATTTTTATTAGCGCGTTTAATAATTAATTACCAGCGTGAGCGTGCCACAAATGCGTTCCAGCGGCGGAGGCGCGGAATTTATATTGGAAAGTGGTGTAACTCGGTATCGGGCATTGAGTGACCAAAGGGGAGCCGTCCATGTACGGTGTCTCGAGCTGGCTCTGACCCCGCCAATGTATCGCGGCGGCTTTACCTGGAAGCCTGTTGATCACGTCCACCACGAGGATGTCGTTTTCGCATACCTGTGTACACCAAACACAATTGTCCACATGTCCTGATCGAAACATTTCGAACGATTCTTGTTCGTCTAAAATCTTTAATAAGAATACTCCTCGAGTTATTATCCTACGACACGTGGAAATTAATCGAGTAAAGAGGGAAATGAAAAATAAAGAAATTTTTGGAAGAAAAAAATTTATCGAAGGAAGGAATCGGATGAAACGTTTCTTCTTTGTTAGAATTTATTATATTTAATTAATAAACGATCCAAGCATTCCCACGTGGGGATAATTGGGAAATTATTGGCGATGCTTAAATACCTGAATAGTGGGTCCAGGCATCTGACGATTCGCGGTCAGTATACCTCGTCTCTGTCCATCAGCCGAGACGCAATGGTCGGCCAAACACGCGGTCTCGTTCCTTGGACAATCGCCGCACGATCTGCACAGGTTGGAAACAATGGAGGAGAGAGAAGGAGAAAAAGAAAAGAAAAAAGACGAAGACCGTAATGACAGGGGATTATAGCGCGAACAAGCGATTGAGAAACGATAACTCTCGAGAATTGACTTGCTTTTCGAGTCGAGTCTTCCGCGTTTCATCGCTTAAGAAATTGCGTAATTGGGATTGGTTATTCCACTCGATGATTCCGATAGAAGTGAACGCGAGAATAGTTACGTGGATATTATAAGTAAAGGTAAACCACGTCGTAACGTAATTAACATTCTCTTTTGTCGGTGAATCGGATTATGCAAAGATTCGGATGAATATTTCCTGTTTCTCCCTTTCTTTCTAGTTTTCTTTCTTCCATCCATCGTAAAAGATCGAACGGACGAAAGACGAAGTTTTTTGAAATGATTATTAAATAGTCATAGTTTTTAATTCCAAGATAAAATAATAATAAAAAAAGAGGGGGATATTATTTCAACGAAAATATATATTAAATATAATCTTACTTGCTAAGTGACTGAAACACTTCCAAAGTCAGTTTCACTCGACAAATCATGGGCCAGTCCAGGTGATGGCATGGTCTGTCGCACGAGAGAAATATTTGTTCTACGAAACAAAAAAAGAGAAAAAAGGAAACGAACTTATGTAGAATTCGCAAAGAGAGAGAGAGAGAGAAAGAAATTAGTTGATAAATTTTTGTACAAATCCAGAAATGAAGATTGAAAATAATTATCCCGGTCCAATGACGAGAGAAAGTCGCGTGAAACGCGGACTTACTGGGCCTGTAATTATTCACGTGCAAAAATGTGGCAGCTGCCGCGATCGTGAAGACGACAACGAGGAATCGCAGGCCATAGGTAGCCATCATCATCGCCAGGTCCGTGCTCTTCGAGGCTCTCATCGTCTACCCGGTTTGTTATGCAACGATAACAGCAGGTGACTGCATTCTCCCCGCGATTATTCCACTCAAAAAGTCACAGAAGCAACTTACAGTTGCTTGGACCTCTGAGCAATTGTTGTTCGAGTTCTTTTTTTTTTTTTTTTTTTTTTTTTTTTTTCCCCACCAGTGTATTGTTGAAACAACAGTTGGAACAATAGCATCGAGATGATAAAAATAAATTTTAAACGTGAATAAAATGTGAAATTAAAGAAAATGGGATATCGTGGAGTATCGTGGATTGTGAGGATGTTTGTTTTTTTTTTTTTTTTTTTTTTTTTTTTCCCCACCAGTGTATTGTTGAAACAACAGTTGGAACAATAGCATCGAGATGATAAAAATAAATTTTAAACGTGAATAAAATGTGAAATTAAAGAAAATGGGATATCGTGGAGTATCGTGGATTGTGAGGATGTTTGTTTTTTTTTTTTTTTTTTTTTTTTATGAAAATGTGAAATTATCGAAATTAGATAGAGAAGAGAAAATCGTCGAGTGTGAATAAAGATAAATGAAAAAAAATATATATATCGAATGAAAGAAAAGGAAATAATTGGAAAGATTGGTCGATTAGAAGAATGTTTTTTACTGGTATACTATTAAATACATAGGAGAAATTTAGAAATGGATGAATATAATAATGATAAAAAAGAAATATAGGTTCGAAAGAAAGAGAAAATTATGGAAGATGAATTGTTGGAAGTGTGTTCTCAAATGTATTAAGGATACCGGTCGAAATCGATACCTAGCAACTAGAATTCTGATATCAACTAGGTGAAAGGAATCTTGTATGTAGAAAAAAAAAAAGCGAAAGGACGAAGATGAAAGTCGCAACTGTTTGATACTTATACTTGAATGGTTAAGCAAATATTTCTCTTGATCTTTCGAGTGGAAAGTAAAGAAGAGCCGTTCAAGACAATCTCGATAATGATGACAACATGCGTGAATAATATTTTCAATTATTCACGTTGATATAATATATACGGTATATATATCAAATAACAACGATTGAAATAATCTTCTTTTGATATCAAGGGTTAACGACATTTATTCCAAAGAATTACTTCTTTTCTCAAATATTATTACTTTTTTCTTTCCAAGTATATTATTCTATTTAATTTCATTCATCGATCGATGTATCTCGAGATGAATTATGTTAAAAACTTTCGCTCGACCGTGAAAACGACATGACACGCAAAAATGGCGTTTTCGAAACAATTCGTGGAAAGTGCAATTTATATATTTCAGAAAAAGAATATTATTACATTTTTGCATCTTGATTATCCTAGCCATAGAATTTCAAATTTCCAACTTGGAGAGAAAGAGAGACATTTTTTTTTCTTTTTTTTTTTTTCCTTTGAACCGGAATTATTTATGAACTATTTTTCCTTCCGTCGTCGTAGATGACGTAATTTAATGAATTTCCCTTGAAACTAAGGCGGATAAAATAAGAGCAAACACGAAACGACGTTGAATAATGTCTCAGAGGGGGATGTACGAAGGCCATCTAATCGTATTGCGATTAAACCGTGTCATTATTACGTAAAAATTTTTATAATCTTTGTACGACACATTCTTTCGTAATTTGATTCAATCT